CTTCTTCTCCTCTTCCCCTTCCTTCCCCTTCCTATTAGCACTAGGAAAGGGGGGAAACCTACTCCTAGTAGGAGTAGGAATCCCCTCTTGGGGCGCACCATGAGGGCCGGCCGGCCCCCTCCTCCCCTCCTTTATATACGGGGAAGGGGGGCACCCCATGGACACACAAGTTGACAATTGTTTTAACCGTGTGTGGTGCCCCCCTGCATAGATACACACCTCGGTCATATCGTCGTAGTGCTTGGACGAAGCCCTGCGCCGATAACTTCATCATCACCGTCAACATGCTTTCGTGCTGATGAAACTCTCCCTCGGCCTCAACTGGATCAAGAGTACGAGGGACGTCACCGAGCTGAATGTGTGCAGATCGCGGAGGTGTCGTGCGTTTGGTACTTGATCGATTGGATCGCGAAGACGTTCGACTACATCAACCGCGTTTCTTAACGCTTCTGCTTTCGGTCTACATGGGTACGTAGACACACTCTCCCCTCTCCTTGCTATGCATCTCCTAGATAAATCTTGCGTGATAGTAGGAAATTTTTTGAAATACTATATTCCCCAACAAAAATTTCAACAACATTACCTATTTTGCAAAAAGAAATATCGTAACATCATCGATATTCAAAATGGTGAAGACAAAAATAATAATTCTGCAACATAACATCTGTTGCAAAAATCCATCCGCAACATCGTCTATGTTGCAGAAAGGGGAGAGGCGATTGTACTTTCCGCAACACAATCTCCGTTGCAAAAAAAACTACAGCATGACCTTTGTTGCGAAAATTTCTGCAATATTACCTATATTAGGAAAAAAATTGTAACATCACCAATGTTGAAAATGATGAAGACAAAAAAAATCTGCAACACAACCTCGGTTGCAAAAATCCTTTTGCAACATCGCCTATGTTGCAGAAAGGTGAAAGACCATTTTTTTTCTGCTGCACAATCTCTATTGCAAAAAATCTGCAATATGACCTTTGTTGCAAAATTTTCCACAACATTACCTATCACAAAAAAAATTCATAACTTCACCGATGTTGAAAATGTTGAAGACAAAAATAATAATTATGCAACACAACATCTGTTGCAAAAATCCTTCCGCAACATCCTCGATGTTGCAAAAAGGTGAAATACGGTTTTTTCCATCAAGCTAACAAACTGCTCTAGGTGTTTCGTAGGAAATTCCTTAATCATTCCTGCAGCCAGCCGGCCGATCCGATTAGTGCGCGTTGGGCTGATCCGATTAGAGAGTTTAAGCCTCTGCACCCGAGGTAAACAAAAATAATCCAAGCCGTCCGACACCTACAGATCACAAGGCTGGTAAGGCGGCGGATGTTTTTTTAATTTTCAGCCGGCAGACGCGCAGTGCAGCCCTTAAAAAAACTTCTTGAATTTTCATTAACATTTTTTGGAATTTTTATGAACATTTTTTGTATTATAATGCACAAATTCTGAATTTTTCGTGAACATTTTTGTATATGATGAACAAATTATGAATTCAAAGAATATGTTTTTTATTTTATGAAAAAAATCTGTCAAGAACATTTATTGAATATGATGAACAAATTTTGAACTCTATGAGCATTATTTAAAATTGATGAACATTTTTTTCAAATTGCTAAACATTTTTAAATCTCGAAAACTATTTTTTGACGTTGATGAAAAAAATCGTAATTTAAAAATATACAAATTTGAAAAAATGTCCCTAAGTTCTAAGTATCTTCAGAAATTTTAAATAAAAATATTCGAATTTGAAAAAAATGAATTTCAAAAATGTTCATGACTCCGAAAAGAAAAAAGTGAAAATGAAAAAAATACAGAAAAAAGAAAGGAAAGAACAAGAATGAAAATATATAAAACTAAAATAATATAATAATGCAAAGAAGTTAAGAAGTATTAGTATAAATTTAATAATTACATATTGTTGTTTAAAAATATATTGCTTTCATACATATTATTTTCCTTATCATTTTTAATATATAAATATTTTCGCAAACACGCAAAAAAAATTAAACATGTAAACACTTTTTAAAACAACATAAATAATTCTTGTACATGAATATTTTATTAAATATGTGAACAGTTTCAAAAATTATATGAACGTATATTCAAATATATAATGCACAAATGTATTTTTTTATTTGTATGTATATTAGTCATAATGAACGAATATTCTAACTTTATTTTTTACTGTGATTATAATTTACATATTTGTACCAAATTGTAGAAAAGAAACAACTAACAAATGAAAATGTCCAGTGCAGCTCATTTAGAACCCATGTGTGTGTCCACCTATAAGCCATTATGTGCTTGGCTATCATATTTTGCGGGGGGAAAGGAGATATTTATTGCTTAAGGAGGTGCATCAAACTTACAAAATTCAATAACTTCATCCAATCCACCCCCTAGCCACACCGCTGTGTGAGGAGTTTTACGCCCGTAGGTCGCTAACCAATGATTAATTTTATTTTTTGTATGACTAATTTTAGCAATTGAGATCTTCCTATCACATTTCCTCAACTCCTAAATTTCTCGGACTAACACCATGTTGGCTATCCTTAACAGACTGCAAACCCAATTCAATGATTTGTTCAACAGTGTCGCTACTATAGTATGAGGTCTAGGGTTTGAACCACCATAAACACCCTTTGTCTTTTGAATTTTCCCTTTGTAGACCTGACAGGTAAGACCCAATCAACATACAGACATATATTGGTTTTTTAGGGACTTTATATGAGATCTAGTATTAATATAGGGGGTTTGTGCAAAAAACATTGTTCCATGTCTGCCCAGTCACTGCCACGGG